AGCAGAATAATAGAGAAATATTTCTTTTAAAATATCATATAGAGCTAGATGATACAGTTTATTAGCATGATTAAAGAAATGTTTTAGTAAGGTCAAGACATGCAGGTTTGTCTTCTTAGGTAAAGGTGTATAGGATAATGAGATGCAGTCTATGAAATGTACTAGGGAAAAAATCAACCAGTTTTCTAGAATGAGAATAGTACTAAACTCTTGTACGTTTAGAAGGAACCAAACATACAAACTGTTATTTAGATGGGGTACTGATTACACCTAACCTGTTTAATGGGGGAAAAAAAGGATGAAATAACATTGTAAAATCATATAGTACTTTAAAATAAAGCTTTAAGTTGCAGAATAATTTAACTTGGAGTAATTAAACTAATATTGATATAGTTACATAACACTTCAAAAATACCTGAGCATACAGAATTTTACTGAAAATTAAATCCAAGGCTATTTCGAAATGTGGGATTTTCATCACTATTTCTCCCAGGATCTTGTGCCTGAACAGTGGGGAGAATCGGCTTCAGGAATTTGAACTCATTCGTTACAGTACCTCCCGTCAGACACACCTCGTACTGGTAGCTCTGCGACAGGGTCCCCGTGCCGCTGACGTCCACCAGGTGGCCCGGGAAGTGGCCCTCGGGCACCGGGCAGCGACCCGCCGAGCCCGCCCCGCCCCTCCTGCACAGCCGCACCGCCACGAACACCAGCACCGAAAAGAGGAAGAGCGACGACACCGATGCCAAGGCCACCACCAGGTAGACGGTGAGCGGGTCGGCCGGCGCCGCGGCCGCCGCTTCCGCTTCCGGGGGCGGCAGGTAGGGCTGCGAGAAGCCGTCCACCAGCAGCACGTGCAGCGTGACGCTGGCCGACAGCGGCGGCTCGCCGTTGTCCTTGACCAGCACCACCAGCCGCTGCTTGGGCGCGTCGCGCTCGCTCAGCAGCCGCGCCGTGCGCACCTCGCCGTTGTGCGCCCACACGCCGAACAGCCCGGGCTCCGTGGCCTTGAGCAGCTGGTACGACAGCCAGGCGTTCTGGCCCGCGTCGCCGTCCACCGCCACCACCTTGGTCACCAGGTAGCCGGGCTCGGCCGCCCTGGGCACCAGCTCGGTGCAGGGCGCCGAGGCGTTCTGCAGCGGGTAGAGCACGAAGGGCGCGTTGTCGTTGGCGTCCTCCACGAGCACGCGCACCAGCGCCTGGCTGCTGAGCGCGGGCGTGCCGCGGTCGGCGGCGCCCACGCGGAACTCGAAGGCCCGCAGGGCCTCGTAGTCCAGGGACGTGAGGGCGAAGAGGTGGCCATTGTCGGGGTTGATGGACACGAGGGAGGCGAGGGGCACGTGCGGGTCGGGCGGCGGCAGCAGCGAGTAGGTGACCTGGGCGTTGGCGCCCGCGTCTGTGTCTGTGGCGCTGACGCTGCCGATGTGCAGGGCGGGGCTGTTGTTCTCGCGGACCCACAGGGTGTAGGAGGTCTGGGTGAAGGCGGGGGCGTTGTCGTTGACGTCGGACACCAGCACGGTTATGTTGTGCTCGGTTTTCAGTCTGGGGGTTCCCATGTCAGTGACTGTGATGGTGATGTTGTACTCAGCTTGCCTTTCTCTGTCCAGTGCTCCTTCTGTCATTAGGATGTAAAAATTCTCCACAGACGGCTTCAGAAGAAACGGCAGATGGTCTGGAATGAAGCAAACCGTCTTTCCGTTTTCTCCAGAGTCTCTGTCTTTAATCCTAAAAACAGCTAATACTGTCTCAGGTGAGTTCTCTGCAACATGGTTGGAAAGTGATGATATGATCAGTTCAGGGGCATTGTCATTGGTGTCTAATACCTCGACCAAAACTGTGCATTTTGAAGAAAGGCCCCCACCATCGATTGCCTGTATATTTATTTTGTAAGACTTTACTAGCTCATAATCAAGCAACAGTCTGAGTATGATTTCTCCAGAAAAAGGATTGATATGAAAGGTTGTTAGAATATCTTCAGAAGCATCAAAAAATGAATAGGATATGTCTGCATTGATTCCAGAGTCTGCATCTCCTGCAGAGACTTTAGCAATAAAGGACCCTACAGGGCTGTTCTCCGGAGCCTGGGTCTCATAGATTGCCTGAGAAAACTGAGGGGCATTGTCATTGACGTCCAGGATTACAATGCGTATATTAGTGGTTCCAGACCTGGGTGGCAATCCTCCATCCAGCGCTGTGAGTGTTAAGCTGAACTCTTGCTGTTTCTCCCGATCCAGGGCCCTGTCCACTACTAGCTCTGGATATATTATGCCTTCATCACTGCCAGTAATTTTAATATGGAAAAAAGAGTTGAGGTTGATAGTATAGTTTTGGATACCATTAAGTCCTCCATCTGAATCTTGTGCTCTTTCTAGTTGAAATGAGGTCCCTTCAGCTGTATTTTCTAATATTTTTAAGACTGTCTCTTTGTCCCGAAAAACTGGTGAATGATCATTTATGTCCCTCACCCTCAGCTCAATCCGATAAATATGAAATGGGTTATCCATTAAAATTTGAAAATACAGCATACACGGTTCTCTGGGGCCACACAGCGTCTCCCGGTCCAGTTTTTCATTTGTAAGCAAATCCCCAGTTTGAGAGTCCAGGAGCAAGTGTTGGTTGTTATCATCAGAGACCACCCGCGCTCCCCTTGCAAGCAACTCCCTGTCCCCTAGCCCCAGATCCTTAGCTATATTGACTACAAAGGATCCTCTCTCTGTTTCCTCTGTCACCGAGTAACGTCCAAACCCAGAGCCTGCCAAGGATACTCCCCCAAACAGAAAAAGAAACAGGACTTGCCTTTGTCTTGAGCAGGGAAATCGTCTAGCCTCCATAGCTGCTTCTGAACACGTCTTTCATTAATATTGGTAACAATCACAGATCCCAGTGTAAAAAAACAGCAATCGCAAACCGCAGGTCTACACCGCGTAGTAGCAGAGGCCTGGGTTATGTTTTATAACCCCCGTTTCTAATCTTGGGTTGCTACAGCTTTTCTCCCTGGTCTACCTGCTGCTATCTTCCTTTTTATGTCAGTGACTCACCGCAGCGCACTCAGTTGATTTTTACCCCCGGCTCTTTAGCCTGCAGCGCCACCGCGTGGCCTCCAACAGACTCAAATTGCTGTACCCAATTTGTGCGCTTCTGTGTCTTTATTCTTATTTAAATATTTCATTTTTCTTTTGTTTGTATCATTAAAAACAATGTTAAGATAGGGAATTGTTCACTTTGTTGAAATTTTTCACTGCTTATGGGGAAAGTTAAAAATTCATCAGTTGAAAAAATGTGTCTAGCAGTTAAATCTGTCCATTGTGCTAGATTTCAGTTCTAAACTTTTCACTGCTGACACTTCTCCCAAGCAATACAAGGAATCCAAACTAAAACTAGTGACCTCCAACATCACCAAAGGAACAGATTTTACATTTCCAAAACTTGAGCATAGGAACACCAAAAACTGAGAAAAGAAACTTTTCACACCTTCTTTAACAAATTTCTTCCAAACTTACATTGCGTAAATCTAATCATTATTGTATAACCCAGAAAGAAGAATTTAAGGCTGTATCTTCTCTGTGCTCCCATCAAAACCTGTATAATTGCCCTGTAAATAGTTTACAATAATCTGTCCCTTCTTCAATATGTGACTTGATTAAGGAATGGAACTTCAATATGGAAACTATGTCTTAATCATCATTGATTGCCAAATCAATCACTAAATGCTTACTGTATTAAGGGATGCATAAATAAACTCTAGTGAGTAGGACAGGAAATATTTTAGCGCCTTATTGTTTGAAAAATTGTATACTTTCACTCATTCTTTGCAATTTGTTCCCTTTCACATGTCTGTTTTTCTTACATCAGTTTTAAAATATATGCAGAATTAAAGAAGGGACTGACCTCTTTTTTAAGGTCTTTCTTAATTCAAGTGGGATCTAATTTCATGCACAAAATAAAAAGTAGACCACACTAATGTCTGTCCTAACTACTGAAAATAAGAACAGCATTATAAACTCTGCCTCACAGAGAATTTTGTCCAAGGCCCTAACATCTAGGGGGAAATCGCTTTTCCTCAACAATAAACAAGATATACAGATTAAACAGAGAAATATTGTATAAGGAATGGGATAGATACTGTCCAAAACACTCGAATTTTTAAACATAAAGTCCATAGGGTATAAACCGCTGCTTGATGACTTGTTTTTTGCCTGAATGGGACTGCATTGTTAGCCCCTAAAAATTTGACAGGAATCTCTGATTTTTTTCATACAAAATTAAAAGCAACAAACTACTAAACATTTCTATGTGATACTATAGAATAATGATATTTTTGCTTTTTTTTGTCTGCAAACATAGACACTCAGTATCCTAAAATCATGTTTCTTATTTTCAGATAAGAGACATCACCCAATAGAAATACTATATTTTAAATAAGTAAATGGCAATACAGAGAATGTTTTTAAAAGTAACATAATTTAAGAAAATTGCTGTAATGAAAATCTAGATTGACAAATCACCCAAAATACCAGTTTTGAAAAAATCAAATAGTAAACATACAGATAACATGCAGCAGATTATTTTAGTAACTTAAGTATTAAGAGCTGACATTTAAATGTAAACACAAAGTCAATAAAGATGTATAAAGTGGGGAAAATGTGGTAAAACCAACTTTGACGATAAAACCTATTTCACTCGTTGGGATTCTGGTGAGAAATGCTTCACTCAACTGAAATATGAATCAAAGGAAACTTGTGAAGTTGAACAAAGTTGGAAATTGAGGATAAACAAAACAAAATTAAATACTACCTTATTGGTGGTGGTAATATTTTAAACAAAAAATAGGAAGAAAATGTCTTTATTAAATAAGTTCCTATGAATTATTAAATTCCAACGATACCCTGAAACGAGGGGTTTTCTTCCACTTCGCTACCTATGCTCTTGGATGAGAGATTGGGGAGAATATGCTTTAGGACCTTGAACTCATTCGTCCCAGTTCCTCCCATCAGACACACCTCGTACTGGTAGCTCTGCGACAGGGTCCCCGTGCCGCTGACGTCCACCAGGTGGCCCGGGAAGTGGCCCTCGGGCACCGGGCAGCGACCCGCCGAGCCCGCCTCGCCCCTCCTGCACAGCCGCACCGCCACGAACACCAGCACCGAGAAGAGGAAGAGCGACGACACCGACGCCAAGGCCACCACCAGGTAGACGGTGAGCGGGTCGGCCGGCGCCGCGGCCGCCGCTTCCGCTTCCGGGGGCGGCAGGTAGGGCTGCAAGAAGCCGTCCACCAGCAGCACGTGCAGCGTGACGCTGGCCGACAGCGGCGGCTCGCCGTTGTCCTTGACCAGCACCACCAGCCGCTGCTTGGGCGCATCGCGCTCGCTCAGCAGCCGCGCCGTGCGCACCTCGCCGTTGTGCGCCCACACGCCGAACAGCCCGGGCTCCGTGGCCTTGAGCAGCTGGTACGACAGCCAGGCGTTCTGGCCCGCGTCGCCGTCCACCGCCACCACCTTGGTCACCAGGTAGCCGGGCTCGGCCGCCCTGGGCACCAGCTCGGTGCAGGGCGCCGAGGCGTTCTGCAGCGGGTAGAGCACGAAGGGCGCGTTGTCGTTGGCGTCCGCCACGAGCACGCGCACCAGCGCCTGGCTGCTGAGCGCGGGCGAGCCGCGGTCGGCGGCGCCCACGCGGAATTCGAAGGCCCGCAGGGCCTCGTAGTCCAGGGACGTGAGGACGAAGAGGTGGCCATTGTCGGGGTTGATGGACACGAGGGAGGCGAGGGGCACGTGCGGGTCGGGCGGCGGCAGCAGCGAGTAGGTGACCTGGGCGTTGGCGCCCGCGTCTGTGTCTGTGGCGCTGACGCTGCCGATGTGCAGGGCGGGGCTGTTGTTCTCGCGGACCCACAGGGTGTAGGAGGTCTGGGTGAAGGCGGGGGCGTTGTCGTTGACGTCGGACACCAGCACGGTTATGTTGTGCTCGGTTTTCAGTCTGGGGGTTCCCATGTCAGTGACTGTGATGGTGATGTTGTACTCGGCTCTTTCCTCTCTGTCCAGTGTTCTCTCCGTTACTAAGGTGTAGAAGTTCTTGACTGAAGGTTTTAGAAGAAAAGGAAGGTCATCTTGTATGGAGGAAGTTGTCTTCCCATTGTTCCCAGAGTCAGGATCTGAAACACTGAAAACAGCAACTACAATTTCAGGGGTGTTCTCTGGAATGGGGCTGGTAAGTGCAGATACTGTCACTTCCGGAGGATTGTCATTCACATCCACTACCTGCAGGAGAAGAGTGCATTTTCCTGAGAGGCCGCCCCCATCAGTGGCCTTGACGTCCACTTCATAAAAGAGAACTGTTTCAAAATCTACTTGTTTTCTCAGTCGAATTTCGCCTGTCTTTGGATTTACCTCTAAAGTTTTACTAATATCTTCAGAAGGCTGAAAGAATGCGTATGATATTTTCCCATAGAGTCCACTGTCTACATCGCTCGCAGAAACAGTGACAACCAGGGAGCCTACTGGGCTGTTTTCGGGAATATTCACCTTGTAGAGCAACTGCTGAAACTGAGGGGCATTATCGTTGATGTCCATCACTTCAATGCGAACCTGGGTGGTCCCATACCTTGGTGGAGAGCCGCCATCCAGCGCTGTCAGCATTAATGAGATTTCGGGCTCCTCCTCCCGATCCAGCTCTTTGTCCAACACCAGCTCAGGGTATTTTCTGCCATCGCTGCGATTGTGGGTTATAACCCGGAAATGGAAGTTGGGGCTGATTGTATGGTTCTGAATATTGTTGCTGCCTACATCCAAGTCCAGAGCATTACTCAGAGGGAATGCAGTTCCTGTAGGACTGTTCTCTGGTATTTTTAGAATAATTTCTCTTTCATTGAACACAGGATAATGGTCATTGATGTCCTTTACCCTCAGTTCTGTCTGGAATATCTCTAAAGGTTTTTCCATTAATACTTGGAAATGTAATATGCAAGGCTCAGTTGGACCGCATAGCTCCTCTCGATCTAGCTTCTCATTTAGGAGCAAATCCCCCGTCTGAACGTTAAGCTGCAGATGCTCTTTGTTCCCCTGGGAAATGATCCTGACCGATCGAGTAGCCATCTCTGTCAACCCTAACTCCAGGTCTTTTGCTAAATTTGCCACAAAGGAGCCTCTCTCTGTTTCTTCCACTACTGAATAGGGCCCCAAATCAGCGCTCCCCCAAGACATGCTCAGGCAAACAAAGAAAACTAGGACTTGCCTTTGTCTGCGATTGTGCCTCCGTCCAGTCTCCATTGCTCTTTCCTGACAGCTGGGTTCACAGGAGCTTCATATATGCCCAAGATCCTGGTAGCCCTCGCAGGTCAGAGCTTTGTCACTAAATATAGTTTTAGAGAGGCTTCACACTCTCGCTCTGGCTGAGAAAGCTATTCTTCAGGCAGCTTCTAGGCAGTGTGAAACTAGCTGGATACTGGAGCTACTGTTTTCAAGGCAAGTCTCTTTTTTTATCACCTTACCCTGCAGCGCCACCATGCGTTCTGTCTCAGCTTTACTGGTTTAACACTGAATGCAAAACTGAAAGGAAAATTCTCCTAAATGTACCAAATAGGTTGTCAACTGTGTTCTTCAATTTAAAACAGTTATATTTCCATACGGCTTTTATGAGTTCAGGAAGAGCTGTGTTGTTGCACAGAAGTACAAAGAGCAAACTTTCATTTATGTTATTGTTCAGAGTTAATGATTAAATAAAATAATTTAATTACCATTTAAGCAAAGAATATACACTTTAGTACATCATTTTCATGGTAAATATTTTAGAATTATAAATGAGTAGACATTACAAAATTGCAATCAATTATGGTTCTAGAGAGAATATTTTACCAATGCCTTATTAAAGAATATTACTTCTTCTTTCCAACATCTAAGCCTGAGGACTGTGAGTTTCCAAAACTTCAATGTTTCATGAGTTACCGAAAGTTTCATGTTCCAAGACTTCCCAAAAAGGGAGTCGAACAGTTATTAGGCCTGCCATGTTTTTGGATTAAAAAAAATCATGAGAATGATGTTTTATTCCTTTTTAAAAACAGCTTTAATGAGATGTAATTCACATACCATAAAATTATACATTCAAAAATGTATAATTCAATGGCTTTTAGTATATTCATATCTACAACCACAGTCAATTTTAGAACATTTTCTACCTCAAACCCATACCCTTTAGATTAGATATTCCAGCTTTATAATTAAAATTGAATTTTGGTAAAGATTCATAATACATTTATAAACTCAGTGTTTTTGTTCAACTATCTTTAGAAGTTTGTCTAATACTTTGTTTAGGGCTAAAGCACTAATCAGTGAGGTCTAAACTACTGTCACAAAGGTCTTTGTACGCCTTTCTTTGGCCATAGGTGGTACTGCCAGACTGGATGATCTTCTTTCGAACAGCCAAGGGTAAGCAGAATAATGGGCACCTACCCAAAGATATCCATGCCCTAATTCCCAACATCTGTAATAATGTTACCTTACACATCAAAAGAGAATTCATAGATGTAATTAAATTGAGGACCCTGTGAAGGAGAGGTTATCTTGGATTATCTTGGAGGGACAGACAGAACCTTTCCTGGCTATGATCAAGAGAGAGAAGATTACAGAAGAACTGGACTAAGGGACAGAGTGTTGCTGGCTTTGAATGTAGATGAAAGAGACCCATGAGTCAAGTAATATAGGCAGCATCTAAAAGCTGGAAAAGACCAAGAAATTAATTCTCCTCTAGAGCTACCAAAAAGAAATGCATCCCTGCTACATCCTGTATTTAGCCCAGTCAGACTCATGTCAGACATCACACCTAAAGAACTATATAGTAGTACATTTTTATTGTTTTAAGCAACTATGTTTGTGGTAATTTGTGGAGGTAGCACAAAATTAAATTAATAGTAGCCATACAAAACTAATACACATAAACATGAATTTTCATGCACCCAGCATCCAAGTCAGCAACTCTGCAAGAACAGTATTTTCAGAGCAAATGCTGAAGAATGTCTGATTCAGCTCTTATGACCCATTTTTTCAAAATAGTTTTTTATGACCCTCTAAATCTTTTTTCAGTATAATTTTTTTAGAGATGTCGTCAAAGCCATATGGTTAATTTTAACAGAAAATTACTAGAGCCTATTGGCTCTGTTAACATTCCAGAATCTCTGAATTGTTTAGTGATAAAAATTCTGCCACATAATTGCTCATACTTTTCTGAAATTAGTTATTTCATTCAGAAGTAATACTAGAATAGCTACTGCTTTGAAACAAATAGTCAGCTAATAATGTGAATATAGTATGTTAATCTGAGTAAGGAACTTACAAATTGTGTATGATAAAGTTTCAAAAAAGGAATATGTATATTAGCATTGACAGAAAAAGACTAAAGAAATAGTACAAAAATACAACCACAGGGTTAATTTTACCTTCTATTCAGAGCATTCATTTCTGCACTTATGAATGTGGTATGTTGAGAAGGTACAGGAATATAATCAGACTGATTGGATCATGATGAAGGTCAATTGTGGTATCTAACCCAGCTTACTTAGGTCAATACTTGTATAAGAACTTTGGGTTCATTGGTTCAGAGCAGTGTGATCTTTGGTACAGAACCAAAATCAAGGAATAGACTAAAAGTTACATTTCTACATGTGAGTTCAGTTCATGAAAAAGAAGAATTTCACTTTCTTAGTTTTGAAGACAGTGCTACCAGTTAATGCTTGTCGGAATAGCATCTGGGTTAAGAACTGGGGTACTCAATTCAAGTAGACTTAGATTCACATTTTTTTCATTTATTACTCCCAATTGTGTGCAAGTAAAAGGGGAGATAATATGTCAACTTCCTTAGGGTTTGCTGCTGCTAAGTCTCTTCATTCGTGCTGTGCGACCCCATAGACAGAAGCCCACCAGGCTCCCCCGCCCCTGGGATTCTCCAGGCAAGAACACTGGAGTGGGTTGCCATTTCCTTCTCAAATGCATGAAAGTGAAAAGTGAAAGTGAAGTCGCTCAGTCCTGTCTCTCAGTGACCCCATGGACCGCAGCCTACCAGGCTCCTCCATCCATGGGATTTTCTAGGCAAGAGTACTGGAGTGGGGTGCCATTGCCTTCTCCATCCTTAGGGTTTGGCAGAGGATTATAAAGATAATGAATGTAAAGCACTCCTCACTCTAAATTAGTATTGAAGAAAAAATGACAAAAATCAGTTACATTGAATTCTCTTAAACTTGAGTTGTGCATTCTACTGTATTATATAATATTTTAACACACTATCTTACTGTGAGAGCATTAGGATTGGATTCTTCTGGAGGTAGCACAAAATTAAAACAATAGTGGCTTAAATGAGATAGACATCCCTTTATTTCCCAAGTAAAAAAATTTCAGAAGTAGGCAATTCAGGGATGACATGATGACTCTGATTATCAGGGATCCTCAAATCTTTATAGTTTATGCTACACTGACTGTCTTGAACCATTATTTTCATCTTTAGTTTTGCTTTATGGCTCAATATGACATTATATTCCAAATATTACTCACACATTTCAAGCAGCAAAGGCAGTTAGAGAAAGACAAAAGGGGACCCCCCCACAGTCACCTCCTAGATGAATCACCTTGCTTTTAAAGACCTTTTTGAAACTCTCTTAGGACATTCTCATACACATTTCTTTGACAGTAACCTAGTCAAGTGCTTTATTATAGCTGCCAAGAAAGTTGGGAAAATGTTTTCTTTTAACTAAGTACACTAATGTTCTAAATGAAATTTGGGGATCTGTTACTAAAGAAGAAAATATGGAGTTTAAGTGGCTTACTGCATACTCTGTCATAGATGATCAGTGTTTCTCAAGTGGGAAAAGCCAGTTTCCTACTATGCCCTTTCATCTCACTGGATAAACAGTGTAGCTTTATCTCCCCTTTTAACACCAGTGAAACTAAATGAAAAGCAATTAAAACAATTATATTAAAACTAACATTGGTATATTAATGAAATACAATTAGTATAACATTTTAAGAGAAAATAAGATCAAAGTGCTATGACAGCAGAATAAAGCAAGAACCAGATTCTTACTGTACCAGTTGTCTCTCCTTTCATATTAGTTATGGCTCACTGTGTTAGTACAGTACTGCTCTTACATACTTACTGGTTAAACTATGCAGAAAAAGTCAAGCGAATACAACTGACAATAATTTCCCATTGTTTTTTCCTCATTAGTTCTAAGCTATGACATAACAAGGGTTTGTACAGCTATTGACTTCATCACTGTTTTCAGGCAACATTTAGGACCATTAATTTTGTTATAGTAATGAAAAAAAGATGCCATTTTTAAAGACAAATTTTGCAAGTAAGTTTAATGTTATAAAGGTTCATGGTAAGTTGCCAGAAAAACCTTTAACCATCAATTTAAAATATTTGGAATATTAAAAACAACTATTGTCACTGAATACTTACCTAAAATTGGGGATTTATTTCTGGCCCCGGGAAATGGCTCTGAAAGTTGGGTACAACTGGCTTCAGGAATTTGAACTCGCCGGTCCCAGTACCTCCCGTCAGACATACCTCGTACTGGTAGCTCTGGGACAGGGTCCCCGTGCCGCTGACGTCCACCAGGTGGCCCGGGAAGTGGCCCTCGGGCACCGGGCAGCGACCCGCCGAGCCCGCCCCGCCCCTCCTGCACAGCCGCACCGCCACGAACACCAGCACCGAGAAGAGGAAGAGCGACGACACCGACGCCAAGGCCACCACCAGGTAGACGGTGAGCGGGTCGGCCGGCGCCGCGGCCGCCGCTTCCGCTTCCGGGGGCGGCAGGTAGGGCTGCGAGAAGCCGTCCACCAGCAGCACGTGCAGCGTGACGCTGGCCGACAGCGGCGGCTCGCCGTTGTCCTTGACCAGCACCACCAGCCGCTGCTTGGGCGCGTCGCGCTCGCTCAGCAGCCGCGCCGTGCGCACCTCGCCGTTGTGAGCCCACACGCCGAACAGCCCGGGTTCCGTGGCCTTGAGCAGCTGGTACGACAGCCAGGCGTTCTGGCCCGCGTCGCCGTCCACCGCCACCACCTTGGTCACCAGGTAGCCGGGCTCGGCCGCCCTGGGCACCAGCTCGGTGCAGGGCGCCGAGGCGTTCTGCAGCGGGTAGAGCACGAAGGGCGCGTTGTCGTTGGCGTCCTCCACGAGCACGCGCACCAGCGCCTGGCTGCTGAGCGCGGGCGAGCCGCGGTCGACGGCGCCCACGCGGAACTCGAAGGCCCGCAGGGCCTCGTAGTCCAGGGACGTGAGGGCGAAGAGGTGGCCATTGTCGGGGTTGATGGACACGAGGGAGGCGAGGGGCACGTGTGGGTCGGGCGGCGGCAGCAGCGAGTAGGTGACCTGGGCGTTGGCGCCCGCGTCTGTGTCTGTGGCGCTGACGCTGCCGATGTGCAGGGCGGGGCTGTTGTTCTCGCGGACCCACAGGGTGTAGGAGGTCTGGGTGAAGGCGGGGGCGTTGTCGTTGACGTCGGTCACCAGCACGGTTATGTTGTGCTCGGTTTTCAGTGTGGGTGTCCCAAAGTCCGTGACAGCGATGGTGATGATGTATTTGGATCTGGTCTCTCTGTCTAGCGGTCGCTCTGTTACTAGAGTGTAAAAATTTTCCATGGAAGATTTCAGCAAAAACGGTAGATCGTACTGAATGGAGCAACTTACTTTACCATTCTCTTCAGAGTCAAGATCTGAAACACTGAAAACTGCAACCACAGTCTCAGGCGAGTTCTCAGGGATCTGTCCGGTAAGTGCAGACATGGTGATTTCTGGGGCATTGTCGTTCACATCCACGACTTGAATCAGAACGGTACATTTTCCAGAAAGGCTTCCAGTATCTCTGGCCTCGATATTGACCTCGTAGGACTGAGTTGTTTCGAAATCAAGTTGTGTTTTGAGTCGAATTTCTCCAGTCATGGCATTGATCTCAAAGGTTTTGCTGGTGTCTTCTGAAGCCTGGGAAAGTGAATAGGAAATCTCTCCATTGACTCCTATGTCTACATCGGTAGCAGAGACTTTGACAACAAGGAAGCCTTTGGGACTGTCCTCAGGGATGTTTATTCTGTAGAAAGGCTGCTCAAATTCAGGGGCGTTATCATTGATGTCTATGACTTCTATGTAGACGTTAGCGGTGCCAGACCGTGGTGGAGAACCACCATCCTGAGCAGTGAGGGTTAACCTGAGCTCAGCTTCCTCCTCTCGATCCAGCACTTTGTCCAGCACAAGTTCCGGATATTTTCTGCCATCACTGCGTTTGCGAGTGAGGACCCGAAAATAGGAGTTGGGACTGATTATATAATTTTCAATATTATTTTGGCCTACATCCATGTCCTGAGCATTCTTCAGAGGAAATGTAGTGCCAGGAAGACTGTTCTCTGATATTTTTAACAACATATCTCCATCCATGAACACTGGAGTATGGTCATTTATGTCTATTACCTGTAGCTCAGCTTGAAAAAACTCTAAGGGATTCTCTAGCAAAACCTGGAAACGCAGCACACATGGCTCTGTCTGACCACACAGTTCCTCGCGGTCCAGTTTCTCATTTAGCAGTAAATCCCCAGACTCCTGATCCAGCTGCAAATACAGTTTGTTTCCTTTGGAAATGACCCTTGTTCCCCGCCTGGAGAGTTCCCCCTGCCCCAGACCCAGGTCTTTTGCTAAATTGGTGACAAAAGAGCTCTCTTCAGCTTCCTCCACCACAGAATAACGCCTAAATTCAAAGCCCGCCAGAGCTAAGTGTAAGAAGAGAAAGAAGAAAAGGACTTGCCTTTGTCTGCAAACCAGCTTCCTGCTGGCCTCCATTGTTCTTGCCCGGAATAGCCACTGGCGAGGATGGTTCCGCTGAGCTGTAAAGGCCTCAATGTCTCGTGGTTACCTCAGAAATATTTCCGTGAGTAGCCCTTTACGGAAGACCTAGTCCTCCTACCGTGACATCTAAGCTACCCGTTGGCTTCCAGGCTCTGCTTACGAGTTCTGCTTTTAATAGAATCGCAGCTGCGGTTTAGGTTCGTACCTTCTTATCCTGCAGCGCCACCACGCGTCCTCAGAGGAACTTGTATTTTCTGGGTTGAAATGGATGCAGTGTTCCCAGATTTGTTTTGTTTTGTTTTGTTTTTAAATTTTGGCCGCGCTGCGTTGCTTCTGGGATCTGCGTTCCCTGACCAGGGACTGAACCCATGTCACTTAAGTGAAAGCAAAGAATCGTAACTACTAGACCACCAGGGAACTCCCCAGTGTTCCCAGCTCTTGACAGTACGTATCACCGATAAGGTTCAGTTCAGTTCAGTCACTCAGTCACGTCTGACTCTTTTCGACCCAATGGAATGCAGCACGCCAGGCCTCCCTTAGAATACTATTTTTACTGTTTCCCACACCCTAAGGTTCAGACAACCGTCTGAGGGCCATACAGGAGAAATGATAGTAGACTGACTACTTTCAATAATGCTAATTCAGTTTGGAGCAAGAGAATATATGTGACAGTCTGATAAGAAAGACTGTGCAGAAATTTAAATGTGTATAGTAACACAGAAAACTTTGAGAATTGTACACTTTTATTGCCATGAACTATGGGGATAATTAGTAGCTATAAACCTTGGACACATTATTTAACCAGTGCCTCAGTTTCCTCATCTATCTAATGTGATGATATTAAAGGTACTTACCCCTTGGGCTGATGTGAGTTCCCCACTTTACAGATGAGGAAACTGAGGCAGAAAAAAATTAACCTTATAAACACATACACCAGGCATGTAATTTGATGACATCAGGTAGCTCAGTTTGCATTAGTCCATTGCCATGAGTAGAAAAACAAGATTCACATAGCAGAAGAATTCATGAGCAGCATTATTTCAGATGTTATCATATCATATGATGAAACAAAAAGGCTGGAGAGTTTTAGTAGAGGTATAATCTGTGATCATATTGATGAGTCTGTATCTCACAAGTATTCTAGTTTTCATTCCACTTCTTACAGTGTCAGTTTTTTCCAGCTTTTTTTTTTAAGTTAGGAGATGATTACAATATTGTGATTTTTTGCCATCAATATGAATTAATATTAGGTATACACATGTCCCCTTTTTCTTGAATGTCCCTACCTCCCTCTCCTTCGCAACACTCTAGGTTGTCACAGAGCACTGACTTGTTCTCTAAGCCATACATCGAGAATTTCCCATTGGCTATCTATTTTACATATGATAATATATATGTTTCAATGCTATTCTCTCAAATCATCCCACTCTTTACTTCACCTACTGTGTCTAAAAATCTTTACACTGTCCATTTAAAAAATCTTTTATTTTTGAAAAATTTCAAACCCCATAATGAAGGAGAGTGGTATGACGAACTCCCAGGTACTCATAGCTAGTTAGAACAGGTATTAATATTTTGCCATAATTGTTTACCCTATATCCCCAACATTTTTCACATCCCAGACAAACTAAATTTTCACTTGTAAAAATTTTACTATACATCTCTAAGTTTCAGTTTTTAAGAAACACTCCAGTGACCTTATCACACCTAAGAAATTAATATTGTTTAATATCAGTTTATAGTCAGACTTTTCTAATTATTTCTAAGTTGTACTCATTGAATCAAAATTCAAAGATCCACCATCCATTACATTTGGATGGTATGTCTTAATTTCTCTCATTGTGTAAAATTCTGTTCCTCCCCTTTTCCTGATTCAGCATTTAAGTATATTGAATGTAACTTTAAAAATAAACTTTCAATTTAAAGGGAAAATGTGTTAAAAAGAGCAAATAGGGGCTAACGTAGAAAAATTACTGCAATGGGAGGGAAATAAGTGATTAAAATTAATAATTGTATTTCTATTCATGGTCATTAATCTTTTCTATGAAATGCAGGTCATGAGTTCAGATAACAAAAAGAAGATACGGATCTTTCCATTGTTTTTGAGATTTGGTTAGGTCAGAGCTTTAAAAATAATACTTGAGTTATTATTTCTGAATTATTATCCACAAAAACTGTATTGTTAGTTTATAAGAAAATAAAACCACAGTACACATCTTATTCTTTACAAATACAGGAAAGACTGTACAGAGATATGAGAGAAAGATTTCTCTTTAATTAGGCAGAAACTTGCCAGGTGATACCTAACAAGAGAAAACAGTATAGCATCACAATAAGGCCCCAGAATCAGATTTATAAGAGATGCTTAGCTCTGCCATTTATTGGTGACCTTTGTGAACTCACAGAACCGCTATGAACATACGTTTGCTCATTTCTAAAATACCTCCCATCATAGGTTTATTTCTAAAATTGAAAATGTCAAAATAAGTATATATTGCATGGTTTTTTTTAAAATTTAGGTACTTGCACAGCACTCTAATCAACTCAGAAAATAAAAGTAGCAATAACATTTGAAGACAGTGAATTCCAATTTAAAACGTCTCAAACAAGATTTGTCATGTAATAGACTGCACACAAAGCATAATTGAGGCAAAAGATGACAATACCCAATCCATGCTTTGTGTTCTTAGGGCTAAAGGTGAATCCTTTCCTGTGTGAAGAAATTCATTCTTTGACCTTAGTAATACCTGCAATGATGTGCAAGTACTCCTCTACAGGTAAAATTGAGATAAATTTCTTAACAGGAATATATTCACAGATACAATAACGGTATTTTTCATTTTTATCACAAACCCAAATCATTCCGATATGAGGGATATTCTTCCACTTCCCTGGCTATGCGCTGGGGTGCGAGATTGGGGAGAATCGGCTTCAGGAATTTGAACTCTCTGGTCCCGGTTCCTCCCATCAGACACACCTCGTACTGGTAGCTCTGCGACAGGGTCCCCGTGCCGCTGACGTCCACCAGGTGGCCCGGGAAGTGGCCCTCGGGCACCGGGCAGCGACCCGCCGAGCCCGCCCCGCCCCTCCTGCACAGCCGCACCGCCACGAACACCAGCACCGAAAAGAGGAAGAGCGACGACACCGACGCCAAGGCCACCACCAGGTAGACGGTGAGCGGGTCGGCCGGCGCCGCGGCCGCCGCTTCCGCTTCCGGGGGCGGCAGGTAGGGCTGCGAGAAGCCGTCCACCAGCAGCACGTGCAGCGTGACGCTGGCCGACAGCGGCGGCTCGCCGTTGTCCTTGACCAGCACCACCAGCCGCTGCTTGGGCGCGTCGCGCTCGCTCAGCAGCCGCGCCGTGCGCACCTCGCCGCTGTGCGCCCACACGCCGAACAGCCCGGGCTCCGTGGCCTTGAGCAGCTGGTACGACAGCCAGGCGTTCTGGCCCGCGTCGCCGTCCACCGCCACCACCTTGGTCACCAGGTAGCCGGGCTCGGCCGCCCTGGGCACCAGCTCGGTGCAGGGCGCCGAGGCGTTCTGCAGCGGGTAGAGCACGAAGGGCGCGTTGTCGTTGGCGTCCTCCACGAGCACGCGCACCAGCGCCTGGCTGCTGAGCGCGGGCGAGCCGCGGTCGGCGGCGCCCACGCGGAACTCGAAGGCCTGCAGGGCCTCGTAGTCCAGGGACGTGAGGGCGAAGAGGTGGCCATTGTCGGGGTTGATGGACACGAGGGAGGCGAGGGGCACGTGCGGGTCGGGCGGCGGCAGCAGCGAGTAGGTGACCTGGGCGTTGGCGCCCGCGTCTGTGTCTGTGGCGCTGACGCTGCCGATGTGCAGGGCGGGGCTGTTGTTCTCGCGGACCCACAGGGTGTAGGAGGTCTGGGTGAAGGCGGGGGCGTTGTCGTTGACGTCGGACACCAGCACGGTTATGTTGTGCTCGGTTTTCAGTCTGGGGGTTCCCATGTCAGTGACTGTGATGGTGATGTTGTACTCGGCTCTTTCCTCTCTGTCCAGGGGACTGTCCGTTACCAAGGTGTAGTAATTCTCTACAGATGGCTTCAGGACGAAGGGGAGATCGTCTTGGATATAACATACCATCTTTGCATTGTTCCCCGAATCTCTGTCTCGAATCCTAAAAACAGCGACGACTGTTTCAAGTGAATTTTCTTTAATTGGGCTAGTAAGTGATGACATGAGTAGTTCTGGTGGATTGTCATTTATATCTGTTACCTGGACCACCACGGTACATTTTCCGGAAAGTCCTCCGCCATCTTTGGCCTGAATAGTTAATGTGTATGTTTGCATTACCTCATAGTTCAATTCCGCTTTGAGATAAACACTGCCGGATCTTGGATTGATTTGAAATGTTTTGAGAATTCTTTCAGTAGCATAAAAAAATGCATAAACTATTTCCCCATTACTTCCCGTATCTAAATCTCTAGCTGAGACGGTGACAACCAGAGAGCCCACAGGGCTATCCTCACACAGCTGCACCTTGTAGAGAGGCTGTACAAATTCAGGCGCGTTGTCATTTGTGTCCAAAACCAGGATGCGCACCATGGTAGTCCCGGATCTGGGCGGAGAGCCACCATCCAAGGCGGTGAGGATTAAACTGACCTCAGGCACCTCTTCTCGATCCAGCGATCTATCCAGGACCAATTCAGGATAGATAATCCCCTCTGCACCATTATGAACATTAATGTGGAAATAGGCATTGGGGCTGATGGTATAGTTTCTCACCTTATTGGTTCCAACATCTGAATCCTGTGCACTTTGTAGAAGAAATGCCGCCCCTAGGGTGGTACTTTCTAATATTTTCAAGGGAATCTCTCTATCCAGAAATACTGGAGAATGATCATTGATATCTCTAACCCATAAGTTAGCACGGAAAATCTCAAAAGGCTTTTCCATTAACAGCTGGAACGGCAGCACACAAGGCTCTTTGGGGCCGCACAGTTCCTCTCGGTCTAATTTCTCATTTAGAGATAAATCACCAGTAAGCGGATCGAGTAGTAAAAACCCTATTTTCTGGTCTGAAATGATTCTAGGCTCCCGGGCTGACAGTTCCTCCACCCCCAAGCCCAGGTCATGTGCTAGGTTGGCCAGAAAGGTGCCTCTCTCAGCTTCCTCCTCCACAAAATACTCTAGCGGTTCCTCAGCAGCCCAGGACATTCCCAGAAATACACAAAGAAAGAGGACTTGCCTTTGCTGCACAGCACATTCCACTCCGGCGTCCATTCTTCGTTTAACCACTTTCAAAAACACTTTCTCTCGTTCTTAAGCAACTCAGAAATGGCATCAATCGAATCCTTAGAAATGAACTGGATAACAGCAATGCTTGTAGGGAGGAATTCCCATTTTACCCAACTCCTCTTATCACGGTTTCCTTTCCTCTACTGTTCTAGTCTGGCCAGCTTTCCTCTAAACGCTGGCATCCGCAACATCCTTTATGCGATTTTTTTTTTCTTTCCTCTTTTTAGCCTGCAGCGCCACCTCGCGTTTTGTGGGTGTTATTCCCGATTTTAAGAATAGAACAAAAAGATGGCGGATTAAAGGAACTGAAGTAGGAGTGATTCCCCCCCCACCCCCAAGTTTCTTTGCTGTTTTATTTCATTTTTCCTCAACTAGCCACGGTACTCCTAGTAAGTCCTTACATCGTTTCCCTCTCTGTGAGTCTGCACTCGCAGAAAAATAAATCAGCTGTTTTCTTATAATTTATGTACACAAAATTAAACTCCGGTTCCCATACAGGAGTTAATCCTAAGAAAATCTCTTGTTTTTAAGATTTATAGTAAAGAATATATAAGACAATGAAGTCTCCATCCCAAAGTCAACAAATATCGGTTGAGGACCTGTTGTTTATTTGCAAACTGCTTAACAATAATGCTGTCCACCCTGCAGAGTAACTGGCCTTTTTTCAGTTTCTTGTGAATTAAATAACTCTTCCAGTTTCAAGGTCTTTGCTCTTTTCCCACAATATTTTTTGGAACACTTTCTACCACTCCCAACCTCTACCCTTCACCTGATTTAAGTATGTGTTCACATAACAGACATTCTAAGTGTATGTAATGAATACTCTTAAAATTAATAATAGCATGCAGGTATCACTCTTGTCTGTGGAAGTGCTCCTAGTATTTCATCTTTAATTATGATGGTTGATGTCAACTTGGGGTAAATGCTCCATTTTTTGGATGAAAAAAGTTTTATTTATTCTTTCATATTTTAGAGTAACTTTTGACATCTGTGAAATTGTGCTTTTATTCTTTAGCTTTTTAATTATTGAATTCTTGATATAAATGACATTTAACCATTACATATTGTTTTAAAGCACAGGTAGATTTGATGAGCCAACATTGTTTTAGGATTTTTCCTGGCTCATGCTGTTCTGTGTATGTGCATGTATGTGTGTGTTTAGCTTATATGGCTTTGATAGTAAACTGTTATGGCCTTGTAGTATGGATTAGGAAGCTATCTATTTTTATGGAACAGAATTGTTTTTATAATCATATTATCATCTGTTTTCTACATGCTTTATTACGACTTGCCTTTTAAATGGTTTGGGTTTGGGTAATAAATTTATGGCTATCTTTCCATTTTACTTTGGGTTATTAATCTGTGAGTTTTGTTTCTGTTTAAAGTAATTTGTATTTTACTTTTAAAAACCATTTATTTTATCTGGATTTGCAAACATTTTGGTATTATATTTTCATTGCATAATTTATGTTTAGTTATATATGTGTTATTAGTTATATTTAGTATTTTATTTCCTTTTTTATTATTTAGGATACTTGCAAGAACTCTATTTTACTGATCTTTTAAAATCCACTCTTTTAAAAATAATCTATGACCTTGATTCAAAATAAGTAATACTAAAAGGTTTATAAGAAAATAGTTGTTTTCTGTACTGTGTCTCCTCATTTTCCTAGTTCATTTCGCAATAAGGAGACTTTTTTGAAGTAATATGTTTATAACCTTATTAAGTTTCATGTGTTCATTATATTTTGACTTCTGTGTACACTATGGTGTGCTCACCACAAGTTTAGTTTTCTCTTACACAGGTGACCCCTCTTACACATTATGCCCTACCCCTACACTTCTTTTCCTCTGATGACCATTATTCTGTTCTCTAAAGCTATATGTTTTTGTTTGTCTTTTTTAAAAAAATATTTTACATATGAGTGAAATCATACAGTATTTGTCTTTCTCCCCCTGACTTATTTCACTTAGGAGAATATCCTCAAGGTCTGTTGTAGCACATAGAAAGATTTCATCTTTTTTTATGCTGAGTAGTATTCCGGGGGGTGGGTGGGTGGGTGGGTGGGTGTGTGTGTGTGTGTGTGTGTGTGTGTGTGTGTGTGTGTGTATCATATATTCTTTGTCCATTTATTTGTCAATGGGCACTTAGGTCATTTCCGTATCTTTGCTATTTTGAGTAATGCTGCAATGAATATAGGGTACATATATCTTTATAAATTGGTGTTTTCATTTTCTTCAAGTAAATATCCAGAAGTGAAATAGCTGGATCATATGGTAGTTCTTAGTTTTTTTGAGGAATCTTCATGTTATTTTCTATAGTGGCTCCAAAATTTACATTCCCATGAACAGTGTATGATTCCCTTTTGTCCACATCCTCTCCAAAATTTGTTATTTCTTGACTTTTTTGATAATAGCCATTCTAATGGGTGTGAGGTCATATCTCATCGTGGTTTTGATTTGCATTTTCTAAAAATTAGTGATGCTTGAATATCTTTTCATGTGGCTGTTGGCCAACTCTTTGTCTTCTTTGGGAAAATGTTCAGATCCTATGTTCATTTTACTTTTATTATTTATTTATTTGGCTGCGTCAGCTCTTAGTTGTAGCATGCAGAATCTTTAGTTGTGGCATGTGGAGTCTTTCAGCGGTGGCATACAGACTCTTAACTATATGGCATATGAACTCCCAGTTACAGCATGTGGGATCTAGTTCCCTGACCAGGGATCAAACCTGGGTCCCCTACATTGGGAGTTCAGAGTCTTAGCCACTACACCACCAGGGAATCCCCCTCTGTTCATGTCTTTAGATTTTTAAATTTTGTATTGCGGTATAGCCAATTAACAATGCTGTGATAGTTTCCCGTGAATAACGAAGGGACTCAGCCATACATATACACATATCCATTCCCCTCCAAACTCCCCTGCCATCTAGACTGCTGCATAATACTGAGCAGAGTTCCACATGCTATACAGTAGGTCCCCTCCATTCATTTTTAAATTAGGTTGCTTTGTTTTTGTTGAGTTGCATGAGTTCTTTATATATATTGGATGTTAACCTGTTATTGGATATATGATTTGCAAATATCTTCTCCCATTCTATAGATTGTCCTTTTGTTGATGGTTTCCTTTGCTGTGCAGAAGCATTTTAGTTTGATGTAGTATCATTTGTTTATTTTTGCTTTTGTTTCCCTTGTCTTAAGAGACATATTCAGAAAGAAATTAGTAAGACAGTATTGAAAAGCATATCACCTATATTTTCTAGTGAGAGTTTTTATGGCTTCAGGTCTTATACTTAAGCCTTTAATTCATTTTGACTTGATATTTGTATATGGTGTAAGGTAGTGGTCTAGTTTCATCATTTTGCATTTGGCTATTCAGTTCTACCAACACCACTTACTGACAAGACTATCCTTTCTCCATTTTCTGTTCTTTGCCCTTTTGTCTGATTAATTGTTAATATATGTGTGGGTTTATTTCTGGGCTCTCAATTTTGTTCCCTTGATCTGTGTGTCTGTTTTTCTGCCAATACCATACTGTTTTGATTACTATAGCAATAAGCAGCCATTTTCAACTCTTTGTCTCTTCTTCCTTTAATTTATATTCTACTATACTTTGGTTAATTGGCTTTAGACATTATCAGTTGACTCCTATTTATGTTGGATTAGATTTTATCTCTTGTACATCTCCGAGGCCCTTTCATGCCTTCTTTCATTTGCAGCATCATTGGGAGCATTGTGTACTCATTATATCTTTTTATTTTACTTTTTATTCCTTGAAGTTAAAGATTACCTGTGTTTTCATTTACTTGGTTTTCTTTAGATATGTCATCTATTCTTCTTACACTTCCAGTTGCCTCTCAGTACAACTTTTCATGTGGTCATTGCCTTATCTCCTGAGCTATCAATTCTCCTTCAAATTGAGTGGTTTTTCTCTACATTTGCTTTGCAGCTCTCATCCTGGAACTTTCCTTTGCTGTC